AGGAATATTTGTTTTAAATATCTTGATTTTGATAAATATCATAACGTAAATTCTTATGAATAAGAGCAAAAACAAAATAAATGGGGAATGTGTTCATGGGACACAGATGATGCCCCTGCTTGCATACAACATTATAAAATGACATAACTCAAGAACGGTAAAATTGACGCTACCTTTATTCAAACTTGATCTGTGGTAATACACATTGTGTATCAGATTCATAACGTTTAGTTGAGGCAAACTAAAGTTAGAGAACGGAAACGAAAAATTCAGCAACCTTTTTTTTTCATTTGTAAAAGGGCATAACTCTATGGTAAAGTGACGCTAATAAAATTCGAACTTGATCTGTGTGTTGTGGTAATAAGCATTGTGTATAAATTTCATAACATTTGGTTGAGGCAAACTAAAGTTAAGAGAACGGAAAATTAATTCGGGACGTACGGACGTACATGGGTAAAACTTAATGCCCCCTCCACTACGGCGGAATGAAAATATGTTTACATCAGGAATATCTATACTGAAATCACACATATATATAGAAAAAGGGCGGTCTATTCCCCAAACTCTCTGATTTTCGCCTCTTATCCATGTCAAAATGACCAATGATGGACAGTCAGTTAATGAAGCCATCTTGTAACTGAATATTTTATTTTATTTCTGCTTAAACAAACAATTTTAATTGGAACAGATAAAACAATTAATACGTGATAATTTTTATATTTAATAAAAACCGTTGCTAGGCAACCGTCCTTTCGCCAGAGTACAATAAAATCCTTGTTATCAAGTTTCTATACTAAGAACATCAATGAGTTTAATATAAACTTATTAGGAGAGGGGGGCCAAAAATATATGAACTCAATCATAACTTGTATAAATCCTAGATGTTACACCGACTGTTTTCTATATTTTTCACACCTATGTTCATATTTTGAATGTTGTATTTGGTACACAATCTTATGATGATTGCATTTTCTTAATAGTCAATCTCATCTCATCTGTTTATACTTTGGATCCAGTAACTTGGAATAAACTTGAGGTGTGAATTGTGTTATATTCGTTTCGACTAATGTTAGCGGGATACTTTCATTGACTTACTTGACGAATATGAGCACGCTAGAGGAAGACAACACCATTATAGATAGATTCAGATATGACTTTGAAAAACATTTGGACGAAAAGACAATCTAGCTTATCATAAATTGAGACACAAGAAAGGGTATTATTCAATGTAACGACTGTGGTAAACTGTTTTCTCGAGGCATTAAAATTCACAATGCCACAAAGAAGAAAATCATAATCAGATTGATAGAGGTTTAAGAAAACAAGCTAATGATGACCCTAACAAAAGTTCAAAACATCAAGTAAAATGCAAAGACGACCTTTAAGTGTTTTACGACCTACGTGTTATGTCAACACAGCATATGCATAAATTTATTTCATCGATCACTCGGTACAAGGTATCTATCGTTCAAGGAATTAGAAGTTCGTGATCTACCTAAAGTATTGAAGACTTTAAGCTTGTTTGTTATTTGCATCTACAAAAACAATGTACAATTAAAATGGAATATCTTTACCAGTTGAACTTTTCAAACTCTTGTTATTGATGGTGAAAGCCTGGATTGATTGATTGTTGGTTACTTAACGTCCAGTCACTTGACAGAAATTTGGCCTTGCAACAGGCCACATACAGATATCTCAAAGAGTTACAAGGGATTTTAACGTGCACCGTCTTCCCAAATGACCTTTTGACAATTCCGTGTACTTTTATGTTGTCCTTCATAAACTAAGGTGCATGGATTCCGAGATAGCTGTAAGCAGGATATGACGAAAGATCAAATCTTGATGAAATCTCTGACCATATTTCTATTTCCCAGCCAGCCATGGGTATAAAATAACAAGAACCCGAGAACTTATTTATAGACCTGGTGTCGACTATCAACAAAAAAAGCCTTAAAAAAAATTAAAAAAAAGAGACCTTTTTGTGACCTTAGTAGTTAAAATCAAATGAACAATGTTTTTTTTCTTCTTCAGGTGCATGCGTGAATCAAGAAAAGGATTCTGACAATCAATCAGCTAAATATTGCGTTATATACCTTTCTAAATATTCAGCAGAATGCAAATGTGGTCAAAATATGTTTGTACTATCGGAAAATATTGTTGACCTACTCGACAGGTTATGATGAGGGAAATCTTAATAAAGGGGTTTGTTTTTAAAAAAGTGTTAGTTTATTATTCGTATGGATTAATGTACGTTCTGCTTATGCACTATTTTTTGTACTATTTTCATAGTTGCATGACGTTATGTAGGCATATTGTTCCTACATGTGTGGGACACTTGCCGAAATAAATAAAGAGGAGGAAAACAATTTCATTATTTCAACAGCTAATAATTTGGTAAAAAATTTAAAAAAATGAAATCACAACAACTGTTCGATAATAAAACAGCAGCACAGCCATGTATAGAAGGTGCCTCGTCGAAATGCCACATGGAATTATAAGATACTTTTGTGGCATTAAACGATCACAGAAAGTTTATGGTAGCCGAAGATGTTGAAAATAAGATTTGATGAAAACAAATTGATTGAGCTGGTTACCTGCAAAATAAGAGTTTGGAAATGATATCTCTATGGTTCGATATATTAACCACGGAAAGCGATGGGCGTTCAGCAAAATGATAACGAGGACGCCCTTGCGTCTCCAAAACTAGTATGGAAAGTCAAACGTTATAAATGCCCTCCATGTGAAATTCCTTAACCAAAAATTATACAAGATCTTCGCAAATAAACTATGGCCATACAAATACTGTTTTCCAATCTTTGAAAGTTGGTGGACTATGGTCAACTACGACATTTTCTGTCACATGTGGAAATGGTATTTTATTCTGAAATAGAAGTTCTGCGTCTTGTGCCATTCGGTGATGACGAGAATTGTGCTTAAACGGAATCGTCAAAAACCGTCCAGAACATGTATATTTACAGAAAAATTGAAAATAAAAAAGTTATATAGTGTATTATGAGTTAAATTACCATGTCCTTTCTTAAAAATTATGTTTTTCTCTACGTCCTTATCATTGCTCTAACATGAGTTAAATTACCATGTCGTTTCTTAAAAAATCTGTTTTTCTCTACGTCATCATTGCTCTCCCGAAACATGATGCTATAATTCCCACGGGAGAATGTAGACTTACTTAAATTTAATGATTATCATATAAAAAATGTTAGTCCATTATGACCCTTTATTACTCATGATTAAATATATGTCGTATATTAACTTTAAGAATTGTTTGCTCAGTGTTGTACATTTGCATGTATATTCAAAGCAAGTTCACAATAAATACAATAGGTAGGTTCTGTAATGGATTAAGGTCGGAGAAATTTAGACTGCCACGAGAAATGAGGGTATATTGGATAGGGACAGAAATTTAGCCTTGCAACCGGTCACCTACGGACCCCTCAAAGAGTTGTTGCAAGGGTTCTTAAAGTGCAAAGAGCGTGGCACTCTCTTTACACGAGGCATCGGTGGTGACCAAACTTCTATTCCCCAGTCACCCTAGGGGTTAAATAAATTAATATAAAAAAAAAAAAAAAAAAAAAAAAAAAATAAATTGAAGTTTGAACACAGTTCATGCGTGGATTCAATAATGGAGGCGTAGTTCTCCTTTTCAGGATTTTTTTTAATAATGCTATTGATTCAAGGGCATATTTGTCAAGTTTCTGCCTCCCCCACATTGGCCCAAATTGTAGCGGTATTTTATAGAAAGTGTTTCTCCTAAATGAAAGATTGCCGTTTTCATGCATGAGGACAAGTGAACATACCGACAGGAGGGGTCAACATCATAATCGATTAATATGACAAAATAAGTGTTAACAAGAAATAACTAAATAAAACATAGGATTGAAGCACGGACGACACGTACTCCATAACAAAGACAGGAGTAAGATTAGGTGTTCCGGAAAAGTTAGCAGCTTCTGTCATACATGTGTCACTAGTCGTGGCGTCCAACTTTTTAAAGCAAGTATTAAAAACAATCAAGGTACACTGTATTATCTAGGAAACAGAAATCTAGGGGCCCTATGGTAACAAGTCAGCAATCAGAAAACATACCCTAGTACTTTATTAGAAAGGAAAAATTTGTTGGTGACATTACTAGCAGAGAAAATAATCACGGTTTTATGAGTAAAACAGAAATAGAAATTTGAATATGTTTAGTTTGAAATAGTACATATGTAGTAAACTATTTTTTCTCCGCAGGCAACAATTGAATTTCACATATAGAAATATTTCTATTCTAGTTACACTTGATATAGCATGTTTAATAAATTATGAATCGACACTTCAGAAAATGCTTTGCTACGAAGTATTTATTTGTATGGCAACCTATTCGTTTGGTTAAACTAAATTGTGTATTACTTTGAAAAACATTTTGTTGAACTCCTTAGCTTCATTTAACGTTGAATGGTCACACTTAATCTCACTTTGAAGTTTATACGTCATTTAAAATGGAATAGGCCTATACTTCAATTGTGTAACGACGTTTTAACATTAAATACTGACAGTCCCCTGACATGCCTGACATTGATTTACAATTATAATAAAATACAACAATCGGACTTCAAACAACACGTGCGACCTTTTCTACGATCTTTAGAGACTTAAGAGCTACGTATACGCAGCTACATTCAATACTGACATTTCGTCAGCATTAAAGCAGCCCGGAAGATGCAAATATTTCAAATATAAATTAAATATAGGTTCTAGTGGACAAAGGGTTCATCTTATTAATTCAATGAGAACAGTGTTGAAAGTCGCTTGAAATGTAAATCATACTAGTAGTAACTGTTACATGTTGCATTTTATTGCGTTTTAATGCATTTGAAATACGTTACACTCAGTGAATTACAATTCAAATTAAAGGACGCGGTGAATGATAACAGAAAAAATTTCAATAACAACTTGGAAATTTTCAATTATCAAATATATTTCTTTTCTTCTTTTAGCAGACACGTTCAATCCCACAGAACCCAAAAGACGCAAAAGAAGTGACAGGGCCGAGGATAAACTGCTTGTTGACAAATTAAGATCTGCAACTACTATTATTAGAAATGAACGTCAAGAAAACTAATTGACTGAATTTAATCAAATACTCAATGGCATGGAAAAATCAGAAGCAGTTACTGAACATAAAATAAGATGTGGAATATGTAAAGAACTCAAATTGGTGTGTGCAGCAGATCGAAATAATGAAGGAAAGATTAAATACTTCAAGCGCAAACACTATGATAAATGTCTCGCTAACGGAACTACCAGTCTGAAACCAAAAGTCGTTGGTCAGATGCAGCAGTTCATGAAAGCATTTTTCGGTAAACAGTCGCCAGAGAATACAGATACCCCCACCCAAGACATAGACACTGAACTTGATCCAGACCTTTCCATCATATTAGATACAGAGAGCAACACAATGTAAATGTTTTATAATTAGTTCTTAATTAAATCTTTAATTAAAATCATTTTTGGTGTACCATAAAGTAATAGAGTTAATCTTGTCTATTCTTGCATGATTGTAAGGAGTACATGCCCAACTGACAGGTTTCATCTAACCTTGATACAATTTCATGGTTCATTGGAAAACGTTTGGTTTTTGTGTTTTGGTCTTTTTCTCAGAAACTATAAACAATCGGGCCACTATATTATATGATTTACATAAAGATTGTAAGGTGTACATGTCTGTCTAACATGTTTATTTGACCGTGACCTCATTCAAGTTTATTAGAACACCGATAAAGTTTATTTGATATGATTCGTGTAGTTAAACCTTTCTATTACAGACTTTCAACATAAATTTAGTGATACCGTAGGTTAAACAGGCTAGACATTTCATCATGTGTACTCTTGTTTTTTTCTTTTGTAAATGATATAAAATAGCTGAATTAAACTTTGTCACTAAATATTTTACAACCTAGGCAACCATTGTCACTGTAAATAGACATCTATAGGAAGATGTGGTATGAGTGCCAATGAGACAACCCTCCATCCAAGTCATGATTTATAAAAGTAAACCATTATAGGTCAAGGTACGGCCTTCAACACGGCGCCTTGGCTCACACCGAACAGCAAGCTATAAAGGGCCCAAAAAATACTGGTGTAAAATCATTCAAACAGGGACATCAAACGGTCTACTCTATATTAAAAAGAAAAGAGAAACGCTTTTGAACCACATCAACAAACGACAACTACTGAACATCCGATTCTTGACTTAGGACAGGTGCAAACAGCGGGATTACAAGTTTTAATGGTACCAAACCTTCTCCCTTATCTGAAACAATAGTGTAACATCTGATATAAACATAAAAAGACACAATTAAAAATAACGCTGGATTAAACTTGATTTAGTTTTACGTTTGATTAATTCGTTTACATTAAACAATGTACAAAAATGACCTACGGATGTAGAATATACCATGGAATATACCAACCTATATTAGCGAATTGTATGTTATGGAACACCATCAGTGTAAACTTATTACGAATAATTTTGTCACAAGGACTTTTTTATATCCATATTTGAACACTCTTGACATTGGAAAGGGACAAATAAAATAGCTATTCAACTTTATCTAGTACATAATGTAGTTCTGAAATTTTTAAGCAGATAATTATTATCTTGCGTACACATTTTATACACCAATTATAATTGTGACTTAATTAAGTAAATAGTCAAAATCGTTAACTGAGTGGTAAGGGTTTCTGTGAAGGCTACATACGGCGACCTATAGTTGTTTACTTTTATGGATTTGGTCTCTTGTGGATAGATGTCTCATTGGCAATCATATCAAATCTTATTTTTATGAATATCTTACAAAGTAAACAAGATGCTTAAGTCAAGGTTCGTTGGGGGAAAGGATAATTAACGTCGGTTTGTCCGTGCATTGATTGATTGATTGTTGGTTGCTTAACGTCCAGTGGCAAATATTTCATGCATATTCAGGACGAGAACAAGTTCACAATAAATACAATAGGTAGGTTCCGTAATAGATTAAGGGATTAAGGTCGGAGAAATTTAGACTGCCACGGGAAATGAGGGTATATTGGATAGGGACAGAAATTTAGCCTTGCAACAGGTCACCTACGGACCCCTCAAAGAGTTGTTGCAAGGGTTCTCAACGTGCAAAGAGCGTGGCACTCTCTTTACACGAGGCATCGGATTTAACGTCCCCATTCTGACCGGACGTGGCTGCAAATTTGTACATCCCGCACAGCCAAACGGACGCCCCACTTTAGCACGGGTTTTACTGCCGGTCGGAGGAAGACCAATGGTGACCATACTTCTATTCCCCAGTCACCCTTGGGGGGTTTGTCCGTGCAGTTTGTCAATTTGTCTGTCTGTTAAATATATGTAAGAGAGTAACTGTAGGGTTGGTGTAGATTAATTCTCGTGTTGCCTGTTTAATGGTAAACAGTTGAGCACAAAGACATGGTTGGTTATAAACAAGATAACGCTGAAAACTAAAAGTTGGATACTAAGTAATACAAACTGCCATGAAAATTAGATGATTCGGATGGATGAGAATATTCTGTTTCGTAAGCGGCACCCGTCTAACTGCCCATTAGTCGAAGCCTGTAACATGTCTGTCACATTTGTTTGTAGGTCATATTAAGGATTCATTCCCTGCTTAACGAATAGTTTACATATAATTGCTGTCAACGACACCCTTTATTTTGAATTTTTAGACAAACATGTTTAATCTACCCTATTTCAATAATAGATACCTATGCACCCGTCCTCAACAGTTTTACTTTACATAGTCTGCTAATCAATCTATTGCTTAATGATATTTGTTAAAAGCAATAGATTATAGATCAACGTAGTTCCAAGAAAATCCTCTTGAAAGTGTTTCTTTTTGAAATGAAGGCAGAACTAAGCATAGTGCATATTTATTTTAAGGTTGGACACTAGTACAGAACACTTTGCAGACATTGATTTGATAGAGGAAGGAGACATATTTGATGATGAGGAAACCGACGACGTCAGTTTTGGATGTGTTGTTTGCTCGGAAATAGAAACCGACCTAAGTATACCTCATGACAGCGATGATAACTTTAAACTACGTTCACCGCATGAAAATGAACCTGACAAGCTTGCTTTATCTCTGCAGGACGTAATTAACCAGAAGAAATTAACACCTGATTGTTTTATGTATAAATTCTTGGACAAATGTATTTGACTATGCATTGAATAATCAAAATGCTAATCACACATTTTCACGGGATACTGAGGTCCTTGAATTTTATAATTCAGTACAACATTTAGGCGGCGATAGAACAGTCAATTTCTTACGGGGTCCAGTCCATGAGGGTCAAGGCAGAGGTGGTTCAAAAACATTCACTTTTGAATATGCAAAAAAAAAAATGTTGGACTTGTCGAAGAAAATGATATCAAATATGTCAAAGAACATCCAAATATAATTGATTGATTGATTGTTGGTTGCTTAACGTCCAGTGGCAAATATTTCATGCATATTCAGGACGAGAACAAGTTCACAATAAATACAATAGGTAGGTTCTGTAATAGATTAAGGGATTAAGGTCGGAGAAATTTAGACTGCCACGGGAAATGAGGGTATATTGGATAGGGACAGAAATTTAGCCTTGCAACAGGTCACCTACGGACCCCTCAGAGTTGTTGCAAGGGTTCTTAACGTGCAAAGAGCGTGGCACTCTCTTTACACGAGGCATCGGATTTAACGTCCCCATTCTGACCGGACGTGGCTGCAAATTTGTACATCCCGCACAGCCAAACGGACGCCCCACTTTAGCAAGGGTTTTACTGCCGGTCGGAGGAAGACCAATGGTGACCATACTTCTATTCCCCAGTCACCCTTGGGGGGTTTGCTAATTGGACACTCCAGTCATGTTCCAAATGCGTTGCAGATGGTAATATTTGTCAAAAACTTGCTGTATATGTTTTGACTTTGGACTGTGAGGAGGGCAATACACAGGCGATGGATGAAATTATGTCTAAGAAAGAAACTCAGACTATTGATGCTGAATTTATGCTTTTAGTCCCCATGCCGGACGTTATTCATGTTGGCAAAAGTATTAAATGTGCATTTTCGAACTGGTTTCTTATGATGTCTGGTTACAGAAGTGCATTATCACTTATTCGCTCGCTTCGCAAGAACGTTGACCCTGACGTAAAAGAAGCGCTCCATCGTATGTTGAAAACGGAAGATGTCAGAAACCGTGACCGGATGGCTGTTGATCCAATTATCCGAATGACTAAACAAGAAGTTGGTAACACTTTGTCATAACGCATGTGGCACCACGATGCTCTCTTCGGATTCTAGAGTTGGAGCCAGAGCCTGTACTGTTTCGAGTTGCCTCCCCTGAACTGCCAAGAAATAATCAACCTGAGCATTTCACGACAGTGGTACATCGTGCCAGATTATTCTCTGTTTTGCTGATGAAGTTATCATTGATGAAGATGAAATGGTTGAGGTGAAGCCATCTCTTCAGGAGCTCTGGGACAGGTTTAAATTATAGAGAAGATCAGCAATGAAATAAAAAGGAATGTGAGTAGAAGCTTTAAAAGGGGAATTAACTAAAATGTGTGTCAACACAATGCACATATAGTACACAAAATTCAAAACACATTTATTATTGCTTCCAAATTTGTTCATCCAAATGCCCATATGGCTGTATATGAATTTGTCTAAATCATTTTCTAGTTTTAACAATGATGCTCATCTGTAAGGACAGCTTAGAACTAGGTTTAAAGTAATCGTTTGAAGAAAACCTCGCATTGGTTAGATATCAGCCTCTGACAATGCAATATGTTAAAACAAATGCCAGATGTTTCATTGACATGTGCATGTTATTAAACAGTAACTGGGAAACAGAACATGTCTTCAATTTGTATTGCAGTGTGGGGATATACGAGAACAAACAGATGAATAGGCGTCTCCGACGAGTTGGAATGTCATACCGCATGTGGCTCCACGCCCAGAAGCACCATGATGCTCCCTTTGGATTCTTGGGTTTGAGCCAGATCCTGAACTACTGTTAATCCTAATTGCCCCCCCCCCCCCCCCTTTACTGCCAAGAAAAAATCAATCTGAGTATTTAACGACAGTGCTACATCGTGCCAGATTAATCTCTGTTATGGTTCCTTAACCGGCTTATCAAATTACTGATGAAGTTATCATTGATGAAGATGAAATGGTTGAGGTGGAGCCAGCTCGCGAGGAGCTCTTGGACAGGTTTAAAATTTAAAATGCAGAGAGGATCAGCACTGAAATAATAAGGAATGAGAGCAGAAGCTTTTTATGGAATTCACTAAAAAGTGTGTCAACACAATGCTCATCTGTAAGGACTGATTAGAACAAGGTTTAAAGTATATGTTAAAACAAATGCCAGTTGTCATCTTCAGTTCTAATGTTTCATTGACATGTGCATGTTATTAAACAGTAACTGGGAAAAAGAATATGTCTTCAATTTGTATTGCAGTGTGAGGACATACGAGGACACACAGATGAACAGGCGTCTCCGACGAGTTGGAATGTCATAACGCATGTGGCACCACGATGATCTCTCCGGATTCTAGGGTTGGAGCCAGAGCCTGTACTGATCCCAGTTGCCTCCCCTGAACTGCCAAGAAATAATCAACCTGAGCATTTCACGACAGTGGTACATCGTGCCAGATTATTCTCTGTTATGGTTCCTTAAACGGCTGATCAAATTGCTAATGAACTTATTGTTGAAGATGAAATGGTTGAGGTGGAGCCAGCTCGTGAGGAGCTCTGGGACAGGTTTAAAATGCAGAGATCAGCACTGATATAATAAGGAATGAGAGCAGAAGCTTTTTATGGAATTTTCTAAAACGTGTGTCAACACAATGCACATATATTTCACAACAGTCAGACCACATTTATTATTGCTTCGAAATATGTTCATCCAATAGCCCATATGGCTGTATATGAATTTGTATAAATCATTTTCTAGTTTTAACAATGATGCTCATCTGTAAGGACTGCTTAGAACAAGGTTTAAAGTATATGTTACATGTAATCGTTTGAAGAAAACCTATAATTGGTTAGATATCAGCCTCTGAAAATGCCATATGTTAAAACAAATGCCATTTGTCATCTTTCAGAAATCCTTGAAATGCAGTTCTAGAGAAAGATGCGACGAAAAATATTCATGGAACGGACAGACGGACGGACAGACAGAGGTAAAACAGTATACTCCTACTTTTTCAAAGCGGGGGTATAAAAAAGTCAGATTTAGATGGTGTGTCTCGCGATGTGTACTCGTCCTTCTAGATTGAATTTCTCATGTTATACTCCGAAGAGGGAGAATGCAATTATATATATTCATAACAGAATTACAAAAAAGATCCATTTCTATCTGACACGTCACGAACGTAATTAAAAAATGGCTGAAAAATACACTCAATAACAACTTTGACATGCACCTTAAAGTATTGTCTACCAGTAATGTACCGTTTTTTTTTAAGTTACAATACTGGTACAAAATGTGTATGATATACCAGTACTACGATCACCAACTACAGGAGATCCAATATAAAACCATTAAAACTCCTATCCCCCCTTGATGACTTTGTATTGTTATTTTAGTCTTCGCAGGTGTACGTAAACGCTTAAAGAGGAGAAAACTGAACATATCTGGAAATTTGTCCACGATTGCTGTAAGGTTTTGGGGTGATAAAACACTTATTAATACCACAGATGAATAAACAGCTGCGCCATGAGCGGATGATACGCCCGTCGTCTTGTGTGTACATTTGTATGCAACAATCATAAATAGTTTCTGACATACGGCCTGACATGCGAAAACCCCCTTTTTTACAAAAAACTCAATATCTCTAAAATAAAATTTTGAATCAACACCAAAAAGTATACAGATCTTTATATTAATATAACTAAGAAGTGTGTAAATTTTAAAGCAATAATCATAAATCGTTTATGAGATACGGCGCGACATGTGAAAACCCCCCTTTTTTAATAAAAAAATCAATATCTCAAAAATAAAATTTTGAATCAAAACCAAAAAGTATACAGATCTTTAGATTAATATAACTAAGAAGTGTGTAAAATTTTAAGAAATAATCATAAATCGTTTTTGAGATACGGCGCGACACGTGAAAAACCCCTACCCCCTTTTTTTTTTTACAAAATACTCAATAACTCAAAAAATAAAATTTTTAATCATCACCAAAACGTATACAGATCTTAAGATTTATATAACTAAGAAGTGTGTAAAGTTTAATTAAAGCAAGAATCATAAACTGTTTTTGAGATACGGCGCGACATGTGATTGATTGATTGATTGTTGGTTGCTTAACGTCCAGTGGCAAATATTTCATGCATATTCAGGACGAGAACAAATTAACAATAAATACAATAGGTAGGTTCTGTAATAGGGGCGTCCGGGATTAAGGTCGGAGAAATTTAGATTGCCACGGGAAATGAGGGTATATTGGATAGGGACAGAAATTTAGCCTTGCAACAGGTCACCTACGGACCCCTCAAAGAGTTGTTGCAAGGGTTCTTAACGTGCAAAGAGCGTGGCACTCTCTTTACACGAGGCATCGGATTTAACGTCCCCATTCTGACCGGACGTGGCTGCAAATTTGTACATCCCGCACAGCCAAACGGACGCCCCACTTTAGCAAGGGTTTTACTGCCGGTCGGAGGAAGACCAATGGTGACCATACTTCTATTCCCCAGTCACCCTTGGGGGGGCGCGACATGTGAAAAACCCCTCCCCCTTTTTTAACAAAATACTCAATATCTCTAAAATAAAATTTTGAATCATCACCAAAAAGTATACAGATCTTTAGATTAATATAACTAAGAAGTGTGTAAAGTTTTAAGCAATAATCTTAAATTGTTTTTGAGATACGGCGCGACATGTGAAAAAAAACACACACCTATTTTAGTTACTAAGTCCCGTAACTCAAAAAGTTTTAATCTTATTTTCACCAAAAAGTATTCAGATCGTTTGACCATCATAAGAAACAACTATGTTAAGTTTCATGAAATTTGGATAAGTCGTTCTCAAAGTTACGGTGCGACATGTTTACGCCGGACAGAGAGACGGACAGACGACATTTGTATGCCAAAATACGTCCCGTCAAAATTTTGACGGGCGTGTAGAAATACCATTATCATTCCTGATTTAGAAATGAGCGAGTTTAGATGGAATGTGAGGCAAATTAAACAGAACTAATCCTGATGATTGTTGAATATATATGTATATATTAAGTCTAAAGATTTTGAATCACGGAACTAATATAAGATGGTAATATACGACGATGATATCATAAAATCGTGTTGATAAATAATTCGGCTTAACATATAGCCTTAGTCAGTGT